ATGAATAATTTTGGTTTTCACTGGATAGATAAATCTGCAAGAATACAAAATTTAAAATAAAATTTGACTGAGGGCAGACATGAGATATCTGTCTGGGGAGGAAAGCTGAGCTGCTCTGGCTGAACTGCTTTATGAAATTTATTTTGATTTTTTAAAATATTATTATTAATAACTTTAAATTTTCATCAAAGCAAAACATCCAATATGAGGCTGTGAGCTAAGCCGCTGCTCATGGCCTCCAGGTCAGCAGGGGGCCCCAAAGAACAGCTGACTTTTTATTTATTTTTATTTTTTTCTGAAAGTATAGAATTGAAAGCTTTTTTTGGCCGTTAGTAGCTTGTAGTTAAATTGATCAGAAATGTGATCATTTTAAAGTTTTCTCCAATTTTTTATTTTTACAAATATCAGGTTCAAAAATATAGATTTATTATTTTTGATGTGAGGTCGAAAACAACTTCTACTTTATTATAAATGTCATCTATGAAAATGATGCAAACGGACTGAAATTCATTGACGGCTTAAACACTTATTCTAAAAATGTGCCATGTTCTAGTAATTCAGCAAGGTGGCGCTGTGGGGGCTCCGGTTTGGCTCTGCTGGCCCAAAGGGGCCACTCAGAAATCACTCAGCAAACTGGAATCAAAACTGTGGGTTGGTTTCTGAACAATAACAAAATTATATTCTGTTTTTGTTTTTGTTTTTTGATAATTAGATAAAATATATTTCAGTTTTACACATGACGGATGTATTAAAGGGGCGGTATTGTGTATTTTGTGCCATTTTGTAGCACAATCAATCAACCATGTCACTGTCAGTTGTCAAATATTTCCAATATAACTTAAAAGAAAGTTGACGTAATTTTACTCCTCAAAATCGGGCCTCTGTCTCTTTAAAATCTCCTGCTCTTTCCGAAGCTCCGCCTTCAGGAAGTCATCACAACATGGCTCCTCTGTTAGTGTTTCTCTGAGCAGTGGCTCCTATAATGAGCTCAACTGATGCACAGTTTCGACAGATGTTTGCTAATTGCTGCTGGCTAGTCTGAAGGAGCTGAGTAGGGGAGTCAACGCTTGATCACTGCAGCTCCGAGCAGAAACTTTGTCCTCGAAGGCATTGCTAGGTCCACGTGGGCGTTTTGAATGGTTGCCATGGGACATAAAAGGAATCCACAACATCCAATAGAGAATCATGGCAACACTCCAGGTTTGTTCTTGATGAGAGAATAACGTTATAAGAGGATGCAAAGCTGACAGAAGTTGATTTTGCAATAAAACTGTCATTTTAAAGTGGAATATTATTACGTTATTTCATTATGACGTCAGAAGAAAGTGTAACTGGTCAGCATGTTGGAGCAAATAGTGACTCACAACATAAATGCGAAAACATGGCCTCACGTGGAGATTTTCTTCTTCTGTTTGAACACAAAGTCAAACAACATGTCCGCCTCAGAGCCTCTGTGTCAATCACTCCTTCAATCTGTACTGCTTCTGTCTCACACGCTTCACACACACACACACACACACACACACACACACACACACACACACACACACACACACACACACACACACACACACACACACACACACACACACACACAGCCTCAGTGTGGTTCCACCGTTTGACATTACGGCTGCTCACTCAGATGGATGGCGGCTAATTACTCTTTGCACACTTAAGTACACAAACGCGCGTGTGCGTTCATTTGTAAACGAGTTATTGTTTAATTATAACTTCACATGAACTTTGTTGAGCAGCAGGGCGAATCGTGTCTCCCCCTTCAGCGCGTAATTACTCGGACTATAATTGCTGAGCCTGTTTGTGAAAAGGCGGTCGTCTCCGAGCCTCTTTCCCTCCTCCACAAACACACAAACACACACACGCACACACACACACACCGCCCTCCACAGTGGGAGCCCCTCCTGGAGGCTTTGGCGTGGCTGAAATCTGATCACATTCAAACTTTTTCACCACTTATGACCACAAACCTGAATGAATTTCATTCTGATTTAATAGATGGTCATTTGTGAAGTGAAAGGAAAAAGATGCCTGCACCCTATAAAACCTAACAGGATCATTTGTTAGGGTTTAATTTTCTTTGCGTTTGTGTTCAGTGCCGTTTAATAAAAACTTTCTCTGCAGTTCCATCGAGCTGAGTGATTCCACCAGCTTCACTCATCCAGAGTGAGAAACGTTTGTCCATTTGTTACTTACAGAAAAACACAAAGCTCAGTCCAATGGGCTGGACAGCATTTATTCAAACCCTGCCAGATTCTCAACTGATTGCAGATCTGGGCTTTGACTGGGCCATTTTAACTCACAAATCCGCTTGTATCTAATCCCTTTATTCACGATCAGCCTCCAGCAGGTCGTCTTCCAGGGATCGAACTCCCAATGTCAAACATTCCCACAGCATAATGCTGCCGCCACCATGTTTTACTGTGCGAACAGTAAGTTGAGGGTGATTTGGAAAATTTTTAATTTAAGGCGTCTTATGTCTTTCTTCGTGTCACTCATTCCGGCAGGTAAGATTTAAGATAAGCTAGCTAAGCTAATGGCGTTCCTGTCCTGGTCAGAGTGGATTTTATTTTTAGGGGTCTCACAGTAAAGAGGGAAGGGATGAACACAAACACAATAAGTCACTTTTTTAATATAAATGACAACATATTTATGTCTCTTCTGCTTTATTATTATTATTTATTACTCTGTGTTGGTTCATCAGCTAAAATTCTGCAAAAAAACAAAAAAAAATACATTTTGTGATTGCAAAGTGAGAAAATATATTTAAAAATCAAGTGAAAACCTTTGCGACGTGCTTTGCATTTATTGAGCAAAATATACTACTTTAAGTGAACTTCACTTAACTAATTACCCTAATGACCTCCAACCTCATGTTACATAAAAACCTCTGGAAACATGAACACCATTTCAATGTGCTTTGTTAGAACTTTGCTCTTGACTACGGCAATGTTGAGTCAATATATTTATGGGGTTTTTTTCAATTTTTTTTATTTGGAGGGACGAAGGAAAAGCGCCACATCAAGCTCCAGCTGATTTTCCGAAGGAAGCTATCTTTGAGAAAGAGAAACTGATTCCTTCAGATGTCGATGTCTGAGGGTCACAAGTTGCTTTGCTTAAAGAGGCTGTGTGACCAAATCTCTCCGTTCAGTAAAATCCTTTTTTTTTTTTTCTTCTAGAAGGCAGCAAACAAAGACGCGTTGTTTCGAGCCTCCATGGGCTTTTATGAGACAAGCGATCCTGATCCTGAGCGACACTGTTTATCTCTCCAGCGAGAGTCGGCTGGGATCTGCGAGCAGCCTCTGTGCGCCGTCTCCTGTTTACAGTAATTACACAGCAGCATCACAGTCAGACTGAGGCACGCGCAAACCAAAACGGTTCTCCTCGCCAACTTGGTCACGGCGACGGAAAGCTGCACACGGATTTCTGGGCTTAAGTGGATTTGAGAAACCGAGCTCCGACATTCTCGATATCCTGGATTTAAAAAAACAACTAAACAAACAAACAAAAAAAAAAAAACCAAACAGACGTATCAAAAATAATGAGCTTTAGACACGACAGTGTGAACTGTCAGGGATGTCTTCATTATTAGAGCCTGAGCTGGGGGAAACTAGAGAAGGAACGCCAAGCCGCATAATGACGGGTTTCACAGGGAGGCCCCACCACGACGTCCTGCAAGACGAGGCCGGTCCCCCCGCTCTGCCTGGCTGCCGGTGGCACAAAATAAAAACACAAGGAGCTGCAAAAGTTTGTGCTGCCACCCCAACTTGCACACGAACTGCTTTTATCACCAATGAGGAACACTTACAGCTTTAAAGTGTCTTATAAAAGTAAACCCTTTAACTTTTTTAACCCATTGTGTGACATCAAAACGTAAACATCAGAGGGACTTGAGATAGGCCAAAAATGACACAATGATGATACCTCCTGCGACAAGTGGGCTTTATGTTTGTGTTCAGTCACTTTTCGGTTGCGATTTCAGCTCCAAGTATTGGAAGTCAACATTTGTGAGGTTTCACTGTCAAGTTTGGAGTATTTATTTCACTACCTATAAATATTTCGCTTGAGATATTGATGCTACGTGTTTGAGCTCCCTAGCTAAACATTTAGCTCGGAGCTAGGTGTTTAGTTTGGAATCTGAATATTCACCTTGAAAGTGAAACATTTTGTTTGAAGCTAATTACTTAGCTCACTAACTAAATATTTAGATTGAAGCCAAGTGTTTAGCTGATAAAAATATCTAAAAAAAAAAACAAATCACATGGCTTATTGTGGTCTATGACATAAGATCCCATTGAAATTTGTAGCTGCGCTCTGACAAAATGTGAAAAAGTTCCAGTGGTGTGAACTCTTCCACGAGTTGCTGTGTGTCCCCTGTGCTGATGCGTCCTGCTCTCATCTGAGAGCTCTGCAACCACAAATAAAAGACTCAACTAATTGCTATGGATCCCCTGGATACTACATCAGCCTCATAGAGGAGTGTGACAGCGAGAAATCAAGCCGTAGCTGCGAAGGCCAGCAGCCGCCATGAATCACGTCGCGCTCTGCCGCGGCGTTGGGAGCTGAGGAATAATCATTGGGGAGGCAGTCCAAATTAATACTTCAGCTGAGGCTGCTTCGTTCTCCGTCATTAGGGCACATTACAGGGCCACAATATACATCATTAAACCAGGCATAAACAATTCATTAAAAGGCCGTTAAGAAGACAAGCTAATGTCACTTCTCCCTGTGGTATTAATAGACTGTAAAATGGCAGAGGGGTTAAGGCGAAAAGGATCATTCCGCCACAGCTTCCCAGTCACTCACCCTGGATATCCCAGAGCAGAGCTACCGATCGCAACGCGACGAAGAGATCCGTTTACATTTGTTCTGGTAACACTGGCGTGCTGAAGTTAAAAAATATCGTTGCAGGAATGAAGCCACTTTGTTCTCCGGTCAGGTTCCTCCGTCATATCTGTGATCAAAACAAAGACTGTGAGGATTAATGGAAGCTCTCTCCAGTTTATTCGAACCACCGAGCCAGTGAAGCACACAACCTCCCTCCACAGCAATGATCACACATGGCATGAGAGGGTGAATGGAGGCCATTAGCTGTACATTGTAGACATCCAATGTGTTCTGACAGGGATACTTTTATTCACATCTGCTTGAAATGATACACTTGAGTTTGGTGGATGAATGAAGGGGCGAAAAAAAGTTATCAAAATAACTAACTTTAACTGTAAAGGTTAAATGTGAGGTTTTCAACCAACCAAGCCAATAAACCTGGAAAAAATCATTAACTGTTTAACAAATTGTTTTAATAGGATAAGAACTGGGTTGGTTCTTCTTCTGCTTACTTTAAACATACAGAAGAAGGGAAAACCTCAACTCCAGAACCAGAAATAGTCAGTCAGGTGTTAAAAGCCTTCAAATAAATCCACTTTTTTTTTCAGATTCAGTATTTAATTTTAGTACATTTATTCAATAGTGGGGGGGGAATGATTTGAAAAAAAATTGGGATCGATCTGCAAGTGGGGGTCGTTTGCTCTGGTGGTCGTTTGCTCGCTGGCAGGTTGCCTAGGCAACACTGAGGCACACAGGATAAACAACCAACTCGCCCTTAGAGACTCTTGGAGGAAGCCGGAGTACCCAGAGAGAACTGCTGACTCCTTAACTTCATCATTTTTAAATATTAAATATTTTGATCACTTGAATTTTTTTCCAGTCTTTTTCAAGTCATTTCTTGGACGACTGCTGCTTTCTTTCCTTTCACTGGAGTAAAAATATGTAGTAGTGCTGCTCTTTAGTACAATTTTCAGGTATACTGACGTCTATATGCAAACCAGTTGTCTGGGAGAAAGGCAAGGAAAAAAAGGACTTTCTGGATGTTTCAGCAGCTCAGCAGCAGACAATCCATAAAACAAACATCTGTAACATCATTCCCAAACTTGATCTCTGACGTTTCTCCTCCAAAAGCCGCAATGATCTTGTTAAGAGTGCAAAGTGTTGTGGATACAATCGTCTATCAATGAATTGAAAACGGGCTTTTAACCAGATACAGGGGGAAAAAAATATTCAACCAAATCAACGCAGAACTTATTTGAAGGCTTTCTGCACATCTTTAACAGCGTTGGCAACAAGACTGAACACAGGAAGGTATAAACAAATGTCATTTTTGCATATTAATTTGCGTGGCTGATGCGCTGCGCTCAGATCCCAGGGCCCCGATTCAGCGGGACACTGTCAATTCCTTTGGTTCAGAGCGACAATCGAAACTCAACCACACAACCTTCAAACGGGACAATAAGGCACAAATATTTACCACTAGCAGGTCCTTTGAAGAAAAGCTCAAGTTTTCTTGCTGAAAAGAAAGAGTGGGGGGAATAAAACCGCTTCTCAAGCTGACTCTCCCAAAGTTTCAGTCACTGAAATAAATAATCAGCAGATTTTTTTCGAAACAGCAGCAGCAGCAGCGTCAACGTACATTTCTACTTCCTGTTACATTAGTGGCTGCTGTTGTTAAAGCCGACTCAGTCTGATGTAAGTCACAGCACATCTGTCTTTTGATTGAAAAGTAACTTACATTATCAAAAAAACAAAAAACAACAATATGATGCTGATATGTATGTACAGAATAGGTAAGTCCTGAGTTTGATACACGTCCTTGGTTTGGCAGGGCTCCTTCACAACCGTGACCTTCATTTATTGAGAACGTCACGAGGAAACGCATCACTGATGAATTCTCCATGGGGAAGGAACAAAGAAAAAAGTTGAAAATCGCCCCTGCTAAAGAAGCTAAATATTCAGAGTTTTAAATCCACATAGGATTTTTTTCGACTGTTAATAAGCAGATATCTTCTGCTTATTAACAGTGGAAGAACTGATGGCGCTGTAGAAAACTTGGGACAACATGCAGTTTATCATAGATATTAAAAAGAGAAATCCCGAAGTTAATGTCTTCAGTCTGGGGTCTACGTAAGTTTAATGGAAGGAAAAGGAAGCTGTAGGACAAGGAGCACTAAACAAGGCCCACCCGAAGCTCTGAGTCCTTATTGTAATGCTATAACCTCTGAGTCCTTATTGTAATGCTATAACCTCTGAGTCCTTATTGTAATGCTATAACCTTAGAGGAAAACAGCAAAAAATAATAATAATCTGATTGTTTGGTGAACTAAGAAGAGTCTGTTTAAATCTACGGCTTTGTGTTTGTGTTCTTGCTCTACCACTTTTACTTCCAACCAGTTAAACTTCCAAATTGATGCCGGTGGATTTTTCAACTCTGCTTGGTTTTTACATTTTTACAAAAAAATTGAAATAAAACAAGTTTGATCATGTTCTTTCCTATCAGTATTTCCCCCCCGCAGACTTCACTTTTTTTGTTGTTTTTCTGTCACTTTCCCTCATAATCAAATCAATGTCAGCGTTACAAATAAGAATTTCATTCATTAAGTGAATCTATTCAAAACAACATGGTCTCATGAAACATCAAATCCCAGTGAATTTAGGAAATATTCTGACTTCGAACCATCAGTCAGACAGTCAGACATGGTAGCAGCGGTATGATGCTGTGGGTCTGTTTGCTGCTCCAGGACTGGGATGACCTTTGCTGTAACGTGACAAACTCTTCTTTCTGCCAGAAAATATGACCGAATCCTTAGTCCACCTCTGAATGTTTTCAAAAACAAACAAACAAAAAAGGATCACTGGTATAATCAGCGAAAAGGTTCACTCAAATAGATCGGCTTTCTATTTACTCCAGTTATTTGATATTAATATTTGTCTAATCGTCTGAAAAAAAATCAAGTAAAGACGAGAAATCTATAAGGGGTTAAATACCTTTCCATAGCATTTCATCCGATGAGCAACAATCTGCAGCGATCTCTCTCCCTCTGAGTTCAACCTTTCAGCCTGAGGCAACGTGGAAGCAAGAAGAGTGAACCCGACTGTTAGAATTATTATGATTTGTTATCTTTCTTACATCAGTAGTTTTATATTACCAGTTGTTTCTCATTTAAAGGTCTAGTGTTCTCGCCGCAGAGAGGAGGAACTTGTTACACTGTGCAAGACATCACTAACCTTCCCTTAACCTCTAGCATGTTTTTGCGGGTGATATCTAAATCTTCTTTAGGAGATCTTCCTGAGATACTCCTCGGCTGTAAAACTGTCTGTGTGTAGCATTTAGTTTCTGTGTCCCTTGTTATCAGGATAGCCCCTCTTTTGTTAAGATCACTCTCCCACACGCCATTCGCTCCCTTTCCCTGCTAATAAAAAGACAAGTTCTGCAGCAGAAGGCAGGGAGATCGGCTTGTAGGAGCCGATCCTCTCTGCCTTCTCAGTTCTTGCGAGAATTTGGTTGAAAACTAAGCAACGTTGTCTGTGGTTCTTTTTATATAGGTTGAGAAAACACCTATCACCGACTGATGGACGTCATCAGAAAGACGCTCACATGCATGTTCTCAGCTTAAAACACACCACTCCTGTTTTATTATTATTATTACTATTACTATTATTATTATTTGGCCTCTTCCTAGAGTTTAATTAAAAGGCTGATAACATCCTGCTGTCGTCTATATGAGGAAGAGGTAAGTGCAAGTAATAAAATTCTAAGTTGATTTTCAGTAAATTACATGAATTTATGAATTTAAAAAAAGGGGCATAAGCAATAAATAAACAAACTGTTGCCTAAATCTGCTTCTAAATACAAGTAATAGGGTGTTTGTTTGTTTTTTGAGGAACTCAAAATTGTTGTCTTTATTTCACAAATGGACATAAATTATGCAGGAATTTTTTGTTGTTGTTTTCTATTAACAAAAAAGAAAAACTGCTTAAAACACAATTCCTGGTTAATCTGAAAACCGTCGCAGCAGCCAGGAGTGGTACGCTGTGAAACTGAGAACATTTACACCCCATCGTTCTGATAAGGCACTAAAAAGAAACACCTGGGTTGTATTAGTGTGATCGAAGTAAAAAAAAAAAAAAGTTTTTTTATTTTTTTTTTAACAGTTTTGTTCACCTAAGTAAGCAGCACGATGCACTGACGTCGCTTTCTTTGCATGTCGCTCGTCACTCCGAGTTTCTCGTCCTTTTGGTTTTTGGCGATACGAAAAAAATAAAAATGAAAACTAGATGTTGAGTGTCAGATTAAGAGAAGAGCTCGGCAACCCTGATTCAGAACGGGGCGCGAAATAACAAGGAAGGTTTTCATGTTGTACAGTCTGAAGGCCGGCCGCTTGTCCGTCCAGTCAAAGTCCCAAGAATCTCTCTGACAACGTCCGACCGCTACGAGGACGTGAGCTCCTCCTGGCGTTCGGCGGGACTCGGACCCGTCGCGGAGCCAGAACCTGCTGGTGAACCTCTCGCCGGTCGCGCCGCCTCTCGGCCGGCGTGGGGTCACTGAGTAAAGCTTTTCTTGATGGCCACGCCGGGGAAGAGGCTCGAGAGTTCCTGGACCGCCCGGGTGTCCACCTGGGAGCAGAAGGAGACGTCCAGCAGGACGAGCTGAGGACACGCCTGGAGGAGCTTCTTGAGAGACGCGGCGCTCACCAACCGTGTTCCTGACGATGAGAAAAAAATAAAGCAAAAGAAAAGACTTTGAAATCCAAAACTATGAGCTAATTTTAAATGAGACTGAAGTTACTTAGTTCACAGGTTAATGTGCAACTGGATTTATCATCATCAACATTTTCCATCTTGCATTTTTAATGCAGGAGTATTCATACGCCTCAGACCTTCTTAGCAATAATAGATTTAGCTGGATGATAAATTGTCCCAGAAGTTTTTGCGATAAACGTTGTTGTTTTGAGACCGACTTTAAAACAATCGACTGAATTATTTTCAAAATTGAAAAAAAAATCTGGTTCAGTGGGATTTTAAGCTTTTTTTTAAACCACTAGTTTACATAAAACCAAATAAACCTCACTGTCTGAAGTGAAACCGCACCACACTTCTTGTTTTAGGTCAGTTAGAATGACCTAAATCAGCTCTAATTGCTAAGTAAGCAATGAGAGAGATATTTTTATTGTCTTCAAATCAGAAGTTTACATACCTTTGCTCAGAATTTGGTAGAGTTGCCTTTGATCTGTGTGAGTTGGGTCAAGTGTTTTTGGGTTTCTTTCCACTAGTGTAAGTGCGTGCAGATACACTCTCAGTTGGGCTGCGGCTGCCACTAAATACGTTTTGCACCGTTTGCTTTCCAATGATGTTACACTGTTATTATCATACATGCATGTTTGTTGTTGTGGTTTCTCCGTTTTATTTTCTCTCTTTCTGCAGGTCCAGATGCAGATTGTCAAACTCTATCTGTGCTTCTTCCTCTCTTCTACTCCTCTTTTCCTTTACACCCTTTCTCCCTTTCTTCTCCCATCTCTGTGTCCATTACATTTTAAACAAGCCCAAAGCAATTAACTTTAGAAAAAAATAAAAATCAAAACAGGGTGATGTGCAAAGCTCGTAGCTGACCAAACGCAGAGCGTACCCAGTATGTCGAGGTGCTGCAGCGCCGGGCAGCAGGCGGCCAGCTCCTCTATGTCCGAGTCGCAGATGGTGCGGTTGGCGGTGAGGAAGAGCTTCCTCAGTCGGGGCAGGCTGCGGGCGAGCTGCTGGAAGCAGCCGGTGCTGCTCTGCAGGGTGGGACACCAGCCCAGGTCCAACTCCTCCAACGCCCTGAGCCACCACAGAACGTCAGACCGTAAGGAGCCGTGGCTCCGCGGTGTGCGCGGCGCTCTGGGCGTGGTGTGGTGTTGTGCGGCGATGCTTACCTGCAGCCGGTCACGAGCTCGGCCAGGCCTCGGTCCGTCAGGTTCCTGCAGCGCCACAGGTCCAGAGAGCACAGGGAGCGGCAACGAGTGGCCAGCATGCTGGCAACCACATCATAGTCCTCTATCTGCAGAGACAGATGAACGTCGCTGCGATCATCTCCTCAGGCGTGTGCAGTAGGAGTGTAAAATTTAAAGGTGTAGTTTGTAACTTTTACTTTTAAAAATCTGCTCTTATTACATTGTAATAATACTGTAAAAAATATGTGAAAACTTTTTTTAGCTCCTCTGACTCCTCCCAGCACTTACTGCAGAAAAACACCACTGGGTGAGTCATAACCAATCAAAACCAGGAGGAGTGCATTAATGCTGTCAATCAATCGTGTGCATGTGCTGCTCACAGCCTCCTAATTTCTCTCTGCTATGCTACAGCTGGTTTAACATAACAACGCCTGCCACAGGCAGATGCTAAAGCTGGATAGAAACTGACTGAATACTGCTTTTCAGGTCTTACCACAGATTACAAATTGGTTTTAGGTCACATGACCTAAATCAGGATGGTTTCTTATCTTGGAATCTCTGTTTTACTTTAATACTTTGGGTCTAAAACAGAAGCATAATTACAGTTTTTTATTTATTTGAGTTGTTTTTTTTTTACTTACCCTCACACAACTCCCCAGGTTGAGATGTCTGATCTCAGGGCAGAAGGTCAAGATGCTGAGGATGGCTGTTTGCTACAGAGAGAACATAAAGAAAGAAAGAAAAAAGAAAAAATACAAATAAAACAAAAAAAGGACACGCAGAAAATGGTAATAGGCAATTTTAAGAGGTGGTATTATGTGTTTTCCAGCCACGTGGTGTCATTTTAGAACACAATCGAGCAACTGTGTTACTTTCAATAGTTATTAAAATGCTACATGGGTCAAACATGACTTAAAGAAATGTCACTTTGTGATTTAACGTCTTGAAATTGGGTCTCTGTCTCTTTAAAATCTCCTGTTATTTCTAGATATCTGCCTTCAGAAAGTCATCACAACATGGCTCCTCTATTAACCCTTTGGCAACGTTCGCATTGAGAAGTAGCTCCTATAATGAGCTCAGCAGATGTTCAGTTCCACCAGGTGTTTGCTAATTGCTGCTGGCTAGTCTGAAGGAGCCGAGTGGGGGTCAAACCCTGTGTGACGCGGACGTTTTGCAGCTCAGAGGAGGAGCTTCGTCTTAGAAGGCAGCGTTTCTGCTCAGATGAGTGGTTGCCATGGAGATTGAAGGATTTCTCAAACATGCATAAAAGAATCAAGGCAACACTTCAGGGATGTTTTTTATGAGGGAATGACATAACATGATGTAAAGCTAAAAAAAAAAGAAAAAAGGATGCATTTATTTGATACTGCCCCTTTAAATGTGAAAATAATGACAGAACATCACATCTAAATCACAGTGTTGCATTCTGCTGAGTCAGTCATGTCATCTGACCTTCCTTCAAACACACCGTCTGTCTTCCCAATCGACATCTGAAGGAATTTCATAAAGCCCAGGAGATCAGTTCTACGCACTGCGACGTGAGCCGAGGACGGAGTCTTCTCCTGTGGCGCTGCGGCGCGCACCCAGATATGGAAATTCAACATGCCAATTGCCAACACGTGTACATCTGTGGCAGGAGAAAGTGTCAAGAGATGAAAGTGAAAGCCTCTTGTGAGTGCGTGCGTGCGCCGAACTCAGTCTGGCATCTTCATAAACGCCTCTCTCTCTCTCTCTCTGCGGTGAGCTACTCATTTAATTAGAGCACTGACAGGGTAATGACAGCTGAGATGTCAGAACGCACCCCCACGGCCCCCTCTCCCTCAGGCAGACACACAGCTCTCACTGTCTGTCCGCGGCGTAAACAACCTGCGGCGCACGGCCCGACTCCAACGCAGAAACCCGACGCCGCCCGTCGTCCATAACGACGCTCTGTCTGCGGCGCGGCGAAAACGGCGAGGCGCGACACGAAAACAACGCTCCCGGACGTGCCCGCACCTGAACGCACGCCCTGCGGACCCGGGGCTGACACGGAGCGTACGCGGCGAGCAACACGAGCCATCAGATAAGAAGCCGGATCGTTTTACCATAAATAGTCTGAAAGTTTGATCAAAGCCGTACTGTTTTGTTATTGACGGGGCGTACAGGAGGCAGCGATACCTCAAGAGGTTTAAAGATGAACCTGTAAGTGAGAGACACTTACAAGAAAGCAGAGGTGGGAATAAAAACAGGAACTACTTTCATCTAAAAGCTTTGCTGAAAGCCTTTAGATAAATGTACGTTTAACTGCAGCAACAGTGAACAACTGAACCACATTAACAAATAATTGATTGGACCCCAAACAGTTCTTACACTGTAATGAACATTCATATCGTTCTTATTATTTGACTAATTACAGTACAGTTTTAACAGGTTCAACACTGTAGCCAGTAGCTAGAATGTCAAACTGTTTTAAAAGTCAACACACTCTCATAACGCTACGGCTAGTTAGCATAACCACCGACGATAGCAGATCAAGTTTTACTGAAATACTAAGTTGTTTATCCACCACTGACACATTTAGCAGCGCATACACCAGAGTGACCAACAGGAGCTAAGACACTCCTCCTGGCTCTGATTGGCTGTTTCTGACCGGGAGACTCAAACAGACTCCTGGTCTGGAGCAGATCCATCTTTTCACAGATTATCTGTTTCATATTTGATGACATGGTGATAGTTTCAAAGAACATTTGTGAGGAAACATATTTTTATAAAAGTTTCACACTCCAGCTTTAACAGGAGCCTTGGTTTACTGAGATCACAAATTCAGCTTTTGCGCAGCAGTCTGTTAAAACTCTTCCTAAGGATCAGCTTGAAGTACGGAGGAGGATCCGTGGTGCTGTGGATCAGTTTCTATACTAAGATTCTTCAGAACCTAAAAATAAACTCTCTGAAATCTCAAGTTATATTAAATAAGCGTTGGTTTTTTTGCTGGGAGTGAATCTGTGTAAAAACCCCAACCTTGTAAAATATTACATGAGGATATGAAGAGCTTTCCTATGGCAAGAGAGGTTTAACACTGTGGCTGCACAAAGTATTAACTTTGCCAACATTGAAGCCACAAGTGAATTAAATGTGATTTCACAGTTTTTCTCAGAATCACTGAATAAAACTTCCATTTATTCTAAGGCTTTTTACACATCTTTACCGGGCCTGAAGAGAACATAAAGGAAACCTCAAAGACTCAAAACAAAAGCAAACGCTTGAATGCTTTCTTAAGTGAAGGGTTTGCCAAATTAAGTCTCGGTTTTTCTGAAAAACGCTCGATAGCAGTGGGCCTTCTACAGGTTTCTGCAGTCCACAGGTGACCACACCTACCTCTATCTTGGTGCGGTACAGCACCAGCCGGCGGAGGAGTGAGAGTTTGGAGATGTGCGTGAAGGCCTGCGGGTGGAGGCGGTCGCACGACGACAGGTTGAGCTCCTGCAGTTTGGGGCAGGCCTGCGCGATGACCTCCAGACACGGCTCATTCAGGAAGTGACAACACGACAACTCCAGGCACACCAGGCTGTTACCGCGGGCCTTTATGAAACTAAAGGGGAAAAAAAATAGAACGACCTTCTTAATCTGAACTTAGAATATTTCTCTGCCGTTCTACCAACTTTAAAACTGTTCGTCCTTGCATGTTTTTTTTTTTTTTTTTTTCCCCCCCCGAGGTCGTTTCGCTCTGACCTGCTGAAGCCCGTCAGGGTGAGAGCGCCGCGGCTGCCCGTCCAGGACAGGTTGAGCCTCTGGAGGAGGGTGCAGCGGCTCTGCAGGTGTCCCAGGGAGGCGTCACTCAGCCGGGCCCAGTACGGCTGCAGGCTCAGCTGGGTGTACTGCAGCGGGTCGCAGCAGTGCTGGTGCAGCAGCTTGCAGGTCTGGGCCAGACGGCAGAGGTCAGGCAGGGTCAGGTGGCTCAGAATCAGCTGGATGAGCTGAGGACGGAAGACCGGGAGGGGGGAGAGAGAAGGGTCAGGAGAGGCGAGGAAAAGTGGAAACTCTTTTAAAGTGATGGTAAAAAGCTGAAGGATAATAAGTAGAAATGCGTGGCGTAGATTAATGTTTCCTCTCTATGTAGGAGAGATCAAAACTGCTCTGATGTTCCGCTCTGTGTTTGCGTTGCCTCTCTAGAATTTGCCCCGCGCGAGTGTGTGGCGGCGGACCTACAACGCGCCACGTTCTGGCCCGGTGTCGGCTGACGGATAATAGCTGTATTGTCTTTCGGTGGCGGGTACGCGGCGGTTTGTGAGGACCGCCGTTAATGGCAGCGGTTTGGAGCGCAGATGAGACGAGCGCCACAGGGGTTTTCTTGAAGCGTGCCACGGACAAGGTGACGCGAGGTCGGCCCGTTGGACCAGGATGGAGCCCCGACGCGATCATGTGTTTGAGAGGAATGCAGGAACACGGGAGAGTGTTCGTACCACTTCAAACTTTTTAATGCTTTTGGTCGCAGACCTCAGTGTGTCTTATTGAACAACACAGAGTGGAGTGTGATACGTGAATCCCCACACCAAAAATCTGCTACCATAGTGTTTCGTAACAGGCAACGTGTTTTCCTGGTGATTTATTTCCACTAAAGCTGCAGGAAGTTACAAAAACATGTTGGTAAATGATGTTATTAAGGTACGATTTGTAACAAATAAACAAATCAACTGATCAGTGCTTGTGTTATTGCAAACAGAGACTCTAAAATAGCAACTCCAGCAACAAAAATGCAATTAACTTCATTATTTCAATATGATTTAATAGGAAAAGTTGCATTTCTCTGCATCTGTTGCTGTGAAAATCCTTAGTTGAAGTTTCTAAGTGACTTTGTTAATGTTCTTTAATGTTTATCAAAGAACATTAAAGGGACAGCATTATTTCCAGGCACATGGTTAAAATTTATAGCACAATCAAGTAACAATGTTACCTTCAGTTGTTATAACAATGCTACAAATATTAAACATAACTTGAAAGAAATTTGTCTTTGTGATTTAACATTGAAATCGTGCCTCTGTCTCTTTAAAAACTCCTGCTCTTTCTGAAACTCCATCTTCAGGAAGTCATCACAACATGGCTCCTCTATTAACCTTTTAGGAAAACATATCAGCGTTGCCTGAAAAGTGGCTCCAATAATGAGCTCAACAAATGTGCAGTAACATCAGGTGCTTGCTATTTGTTGCTGGCTAGTCTGAAGGAGCTGGAATGCTGAAGCTCGGCTTGGAAACTGCAGCTCAGAGGAGGAGCTTCATCCGCCTTGGTTTGTTTTTGAACAACATTGTAACATGATGCAAAGCTCAAAAAAGTCGATTTTACATAATCCTGCCCTTTAACATTATGGTTCCTTTGAGGTTCAGGTTTTGCTCTGCGCCCTGCAGCGTGTTCGTTCTGCTGTCACCTCATATGGCAGTTTGTCAAAGAAGCCGTTGGCCGTCCTCTGCTGTTTGCCGTCTCCTCCTGGTTTGAAAGGACCGCTGACGTCAGACATCTCGTCCTCACTGTCACTCAAGTCGCTTATGTCTATAAGAGGCATCTTATAAAGCGCGAGCATGGGCCTCTCCTTCACGCCGCGGAGGATAACAGCGTCCAGCTCGGTGTAATAGTCCAGCAGGGAGCTGTTGACCTCCAGCCGGAGCAGATTGGTGGGGAAGTTGATGTGCTTGATTTTCGGGGAGAACTGTCGAGCCTGGGGGGTCAGCGCTTTGGTGGGCTCTCCTGACCACAACACCTCCCACCTGGACAAGACAGCAACGCTTAGCATCGCTAAAACAAGGTTTCTGTAAAACAAGCTTTTACAAAATGACTGTGTGCTAAAGGATGTTAGCATGAGAAATTGTTTTGCTGCTTCTGCTTACTGAATATATTATTAAACACAAACTAATCAATTAATTGAAAGATAAATTAAAATGAGCTCAATCATTTCCATTCTGATCATTAATCCTTTATTGAAGGCCAATTTTGTTTACAGTGAAATTATAATCCATTACAATTAAGGTTTTGTTTGTGTTTTTTTTCCCCCATTTTGTTTATTAATTTTTGTTGTCATGTTTTATTTTGCATATGAAGTTTTTTTGAGTTCAAGTGTTAATAGTTCTTTACAAATTTAAGTTTATCTTTCTTTGAGAGAGAAAACTAGAAAATTATTATGTAATTGTCAATATATTACTTGAAAATGGTCTCAAAACCACAACAGTATCATTTATCGCAATGTTTACAGGGACAATTTATTGTCCAGCAAAAGTTGTTATTAACCAGATTTACTGGTTAATAAAATAAGAAATAAAGTTGAGCAGCATATTTTTTTCTTAGATTTGCATAATTTTTACATTCTTACAAAAAAATAATAAAAACCTCTCCAATACTTTTCATGACCTTGTCGTATGACAGCATATTAGGGCAACGACAGACAGAAATAAAAAGGAAAAAATAATTTATTTTCTAGAAAAAAAAACAAGAAATTTTCAACATTTGAAAAGTTGAAAATTTGCTAGAAAAACTCAAAAGTTTGAGATTAATTTCAGAAACGTTCTAGAAAAAACATCGTAATTCTGAGTTTTCAAGTTTTTTTACTTTTGAACCTCAGAAATGTATATATTTTTTCTAGAAGATTTCTGGAATTAATCTAAATTTTCTTTTGCCTAGGAAATGTGTCGCTTTTCAAACTTTGACATTTTCTTGCTTTTTCTAGAACATTTCTGACTCAGAAAGTTTGACTATAGTCTGAGAAATGTTCTGTAAGAACAAGGAATGTTTTTTATTTTGTTTCAAATGTCAAAAATGTTCAACTTTTGCAACTTTTTAGAAGTTGAAAATGTTGGAAGAACTCTGAAATTTCCATGTTTTTTTTTTCTCAAATTAATCTCAAAATTTTAGCTTTTTAAAGAAAATTTCTCACTTTTCAAACTGAGAAATCCCTTTTTTTTATTTTTTTTATTTTGAAGTTCCTCCTTTCTTCCCCTCTATCCACAATGGCCAAAGTACTCTGAGGTGGTGCAGGAACCCTGTTCTAGTTACAAATATGAAACATGAAGTTGATGTCATCACAGTGGGGGGCTGTTACCTGACATCAGTAGGCGGGTTTTGGGAAAACGGGTTGTGGGAGCAGGCCAGGATTTGGACGATGGCTCCGGGATAATAAGTCTCAAACACCTCCACCGCCGTAGGGTAGACGGGCTCCTCAAAGCCCAGCTCTATGTAATCCTGACTGTGGAAGCCGTCGGGGGTCCGGCGGAACGTTAAGGGAGCGCTGGCGCACTGTTCCCACCACTTCCCGTAAGCTCTGAACACGGCCGTCTGCGTGAAGTCCCCCGAGCTGGGGTAAACGTTGGGAATCCCGGCCAGGTTCCACATGGTGTAGGACATGCTGTTCTCACTGCCGTAGTGGGAGCTGAAGTCCAGAACCTCCTTGGCATACTGCTCCACCTCCACGCTGACCGGCAGCACCGCCCGCTGGCCCGACTCCACGGCACGCCGGCTAGTCAGGGCCTCGCCTCGAGTGCCGCTCCTGGAGCGCCGCCGCAGACATATATAGTAAAACATGCTCAAGAGGGTTAACATAGGGAACTCTGGGAGCGGTGGGAGCAGAGGGGGGGAAAGACGGAGGCTAGACGGAGGAAGAGCCTCCGGCTACGGGTAGCGCATTGTCTCGAGGGCTGGGGACGGACAAAACGCAAGCTGCATGCATGACCTGTGGGGTTAGGCAGAGACAAACACATCCATGAGTGGGACGAGCAAAACATTAAGTCTGACACAGCACAGAGTACAATCACACTGAATACACAGAGTGCCTTGCAAAAGTATTCACACAACTTTTTCCTCATGTATCAGGTTACAGGTACATGCTTCAATGTCTTTTACAGGGAAAGTCGTGAAAGCTTGAAACAACTGGAAAATCTGTGGGGGCTTATTTGTATTCAACCCCCTTTTTGATACACCAAAATAAAATCCAGTGATCTGATTAATCCATTTAAAAAGCAAATAAAAGAATTAGTTCAAAACACATCATATTTGCCAACATTTTTCTTATGTCTCACTAAGAACCTTGTTTTTAGTGAGACATATTACTGGTCATCCAAGGACAGCAGATGAAAGATAGCCTATTGGCTAATTATGGACCATTTGCAGAATATTCAAGTGTTATTAAGGCACAAAGTGCTATTTTATACCAAAATCAAGTAACTGTGTTACTTTCAGTTGTTATAAAAATGCTACACATGTCACATATGACATAAAAGAAATTTGATATCATAATTTGAAATTGGGCCACTGTCTCTATACAACACTTGCTTTTTCAGAAACTCCACCTTCAAGAAGTCACCAAAACATCACTCATATATTAACACTTCAACAACTTTTTCACTGAGAGTTAGTTTGTAGATGCTCAGATCCACCAGGTGTTTGCTAATTGCTACTGGCTGAGGAACTGAGCGGAGGGGAAGGGCGGTGTGGGGGAGAATACAGCATTCAAAACTAGAACAAGTATAGCACAAGTTCAAACCTAAAAAAAAGGTAATAATGATAAAAACATTTATCTACTTAAACTAATGGGCTATGCAAGGAGAATAGCCCAAAGGCCCTTTGGAGGAGCTGCACAGCTCAGGAGAATCTGAAGAATGAATTCCATTTAAAGTTAAAATACATAAAACTTTGGAACCAAATGAGGAAAACTTTAGGTGGTGTAAATACTTTTGCCGGACACTCAACTGCGATATATAGACTTTATTTGAAATCAGTCACAAGTTCAAAAGTTGTCCTTGCTCAAAGAGCTGCCTACATGACAAAAACACCACACATACAGACAAGGTGGCACAAAATAGTTCACACGATTGTGAACTATTCACTATTCACAACTATTCAGAATTCACAATGATGGCCAAAGTCAAAATGACATAAAGTGCCATCAGTGTCCACCATGTTGGAGGTTTGTTGACAGGTACAGGAAGCAGCCAAGGTGTCTCACTTCTATGTAGGTCAATCAGCAGCACCACTATTATGCCTGAGCTTTAGTTAAAAGTTCAACTTTTGACCTTACACAAACTCAGATATTTTTTAGAATCCAAGATGAAATAAACAAAAACAAAACGCTTTGGGGGAAGGCCTTGTGTTAGATAGCAGTGATGTAATTAAAGTTGTTAAAAGGTATGAATATATATAAACATGAAAAAAAACAAGGAACTTGCCCAAGAACTCGTCTGTTTGTTTTGGGGGTTTAATGGAAAACCCCACTCTATAAGTAGTATATTTCCAGCTGCCAGTTTTCTGTAAGACTTCAGTGCAGTGGCACTAAAACGTGAATTTGTTTGGTGACATAAAACAAGCAGCGGTTTGTCTGTCAGTGGCGGCTAATGTTAAATAGCCGGGGTTAGCTAACAACCAGACAAGCTGAGCTGTCAAACGTGAGCCGCTCGCTTCCGCTTGGCAGCTTTAACAGCAAAACACGCAAGAACAAATGAACGTGAGGTCAATTTACGGCAAACGAAGATCTATATATCCATTCATGGGGATGTATCTTCTTCTTTCCATCAGCTGGAGCTGGATATTTCAGTTCGCTAAATACATTCCTGTCGCTTATCTCGTGTTGCCTTCAGGGACCAGCAGGACAACGCATGAAGTCACGAAGAGTGTATTTAATCCAACTAGAAAATGTCGGACTTTTTTTTTAAATGTAACAATAAACAAATCACGTATTACATTTTGTTTAAGTTTATGTAATCAAATATTAGTTACCCGGGATAATTTCAGTAGAAATGCTTCGTTGTCCTCATTGTAACATCTCCACCGCTACAATTAATTACTTTTGCTTAAAGAAAACATAAGCCATAAAGAAAAAGGCTAGAGATTATGATTTGAACCGTTATCATCAAACGCTACATATCTGACTTGTTTCAAAGAAGAACTAATTAGGCGCATGTAAATAAAATTAGGAGTTCCGTACCCGCAGTGAAGGCGACACAAGTTGTCAACATCCGGACGGCGAGCTTTTATCGCAAAGGATTATGGGGATAGTAGTCCGTATGGTGAAGGAAAAAAATACCACAGACTTTAAAGGAGAAAATTCCCATGTATGGTTGTACGTTTATCAAATTATATGTGTTTATAGTTAAGAATTAAAAATGTAATACGATGAAACTAGAAAGTGGAAGTCAGCCAGAAATAGCTATTGATGAGAAAATAAGTAAATCTGTTTTGTTCATACAAAACAATTCAACAACAATAATTTAGCTGTCACATTTTTACCAAGTCCTCCTTGATGGCTTGACTTTAACATCAGTTTACTGCTTCTCCTGCTGGTTTTTCGCATTTCTATAAAGTCACCAATAGTGGCCTGGCTTTCATACCACAACCTAGTCCAGATTTCACATCTGCCTCGTTTAATACTCGTCTGAACCTGTCCATGCAGCTAGGACCAAAACACTGAAGCACATAAGTGGTGGGGGGAAAAAAAAAAGCAAAGCCACCACGTATGCCCATGCACACACACTCTCTTTCCATCACACACATACACACACATACACGGACACAAAAAGGCACATAAACAGCATGCAGACAGATTTAGAGTTAACAAGATAGAATAATGTGAGCAGTGAGCTTCTGGGCCTGCACCCTGATTGACAGGCCAGGCTGCTGTCAGCTCCTCCAGGCAGGCATCAGCGAGCAGCAGCTCTGCTTCTGTCAGAGCTCTGTTCTGGTCCGCTGTGCCACCCATACATATGCACACGGCCAGGCTCACTCAAATGCAAATGGGAGATGGACGCACACATGAGTGCCTGAAGAGATACATGTACGCACACATAAATGCACCCCCATGCACCAACACACCCTCTGAACGTTCTCTTTATGCCCCAGCTGGTAAAAGGCAGGAAAATAATAAGTCTATACCTCCCCCTTCCACCCCCCACCCACACCACCCTCTCCTTCTTTTTACTTTTTTTTTCTTTTGCTTGGACACATGAAAGCTGGTTGTTGCACATGTGAAGCACCGTGCTTGGTTATTCTCATTTAGATGGAGAAAGCAGCAGCCCTGCTTTGTTGCCGGTGTTCTGTTTTACTTCGATACTCGCAAATGAAAGAGCAATTTGTGATGTTTTTTTTTTTTTTTAACACCTGAAAGTATTACACGTCTTTCTCCGGCTTTGCTTTTCCGTGAGACTGTCCTACACAGACCTCAGGAAGGGTGTGTTTGTAAAAGCAATTTCTCCAAAAGTTGGCTTATTGTGTGGAAAGTGAGCAAAAGCAAGAATCCAGTGTTAAGCACTGGAAAATATGACCCCAAAAAAAATGGTGATGTCTGCCAAAATATATCTCATATAACAGACTCACACGTAACGAGATAAAACTGTGAAGTGGAAGAAAAAGACTGTATAGTTTTCAACAAAAAAATAAAAAACAACCTGAAAACGTAAACACTTTTTACAATCAACACACCTTTTGACTCTTCGGAGGGGCAGCCAGTATGAAACAACGCTTCTTGTTGCTCTGTGAAAAACAGTGTCCTATTAAACTGCTGTAACCGCTTTGCTAACTGGTGCAACTGGTGGAAGTTACCAACTGCTCTATTTGGGAGAAAACAAACTAACTGCACCAGACAAAAAGTGTTCAAAAACAAAAGTGTAGAGCTCAAACCAGAAGTCAAGGGCTTCACCACACAAACATCACAATTACTGGCAACATAAAACACATTCAAATGTGCTGTAATGCAAAACACATATGGTTATTTACACTAAATATCTAGCGCTCTAACTGCATATTTGGTTTAGTTCGCGAGCAAACCAAGTATTTAGTTACTTGGTTGGTTAACTAAATATCTTCGTGACTAAATAAATATTGAACTTCAAAAATTTAGCTAATTAAATATTTAGCTAGGTAGCTACATATCTAGTAACCTAGAAAGTGAGACAATTATAATTCAATGAATGGTTTTGTGATCAATTAAACCCTACTTTTGCTCTTGTAACTTTACAAAAGTCACGTCAGACCTGCAGCTAACGGCCAGCGTAATTCTGGATCAGCCGCAGAAAGCCAGAGCTCAGATGGAAGGACTGATAGCACAAATATCAATCAGTCAGAAAGTCTGTCCGTTATGGAAGAGATGGTGGACGACTGTCGTCACTGAGTGAAAACTATAAGAAGTTCCTTTTGAAGTTTGCCACAAGCCAGATGAGGGACACAGGGAACATCTGGAACGAGGTGTTCTGGCCAGATGGGACCAAAGGTTGACTTTTAGGTCGACCTGCAAAATGTCACATGCGGCAGGAGACCGAACGCCAAATCTTACTATTGGTTTATGCACAACTTTGTGTTGGTTTTATCACATAAAACCACATTTTAACCACATGGAGGTTTGTGGTTAAAATGTGGCAAAATGTGAAAATGACTGAAGGGTAAAATACTTTTTGAAGCTGCTGTAGAAGAGGAATGTGATAGGGCATTTTTCAAATCCATTTATCTACCAGATGCAAACTAGTACAAATTCATTCCAAATACATTAGAGAGTGACCTTTTGAGTATGAAATAGTTCCTCACCTGAACAATCCTCCCTCTCTCAATAACTTCACATTTTGATTCGTCACATTTTTACTCTTGTAGCTGCATCTCTGCTGCGTTTGACGGTTTGGTGGTTTTGAGTGTTATTTGCATGAACGGAAACATGTTTGTTCTTACCGCCGAGTCAGGAGCCAAATATTCAGCAGACTTTCAAGCCTATTCCTTTCTACAGAAGTTTTCTCTTCACAATACTTTCCACGCAGTTTGACACAAATGAATTCACTTGAAACATTGAGTCGTAAGAAGTGGAGGATACCTAACTCGCTCGAGTCAGTGCCAGCCATCCTGTCATAAAGCACCAGCTTCTGGGTTAATTTATGAGGAAATAGAAAGCGATAGTGTATTTTATGTGTTTTGGGGGGAGGTTTACAGAGTATTGACATAAAAAAGCTCTTTTTTTCCCCCTTTGTTCCTTTTACTATGTTGTTTTTCATTAGCTGATTTTCTCCCCTTCTTTTTTTTTTTTTTTTTTTTTTTTGTCGATGCCTATTTGTGTAAGCACCAAAGTGTGTGTGTTGTGTGTCGTGACAAAACCCACAACACACAGCCGCCACGAAAGGTGCACACCGATACTTGAGTGAACTAAGGATATTAACCCCAGGTCTGATTTTCAGTGGGGATGATTCAATTCAGGTCGTTCTCTCACCTCCGTGGCTTTTAGCTCTCATGAACACTGATCGTTTCAGTCACCGGCATGTTTGGGCCGTTTCCGGCTGACTGCGAAAGTTCTCCGACTTTTTAAGTCTCGGCGACAGAATTTGCAAATATAATTACCGCTGCGAGAAAAACCCAGCCGAGATAGCGGCGAGGAGCTGTCATCTGCCATTGTTTCTCGCCTGTGTCCTCCAACTGAACTTCACCGACCGACAGTTTAATTGGTTTCAGGGAATCGAGTGTGAAGAGGAGCCATGACCTTGATCTTTCTCTCTGATAAATGATTTTTTTTTTTCCCCTCTTCTCTTTTTGAATCAGCTATACATGCAAATATGAAGACCGTAAATGTCGGAGTGCTGAGAGGAAAGTAAACAGATTGTCTCCTTTTATTGTGTGTTTAGTGGCTGATTAGAGGCCTAATTAAATACGGTGTTGGTGAGCTTGGCGGCAAACAGAGGAGACACTGACCCCGCGACTCCTGATGCACCCCGGGGGACGATCTGAACAAAGAGAGGAGATGCAATCGGCCTGATAGAGAACATGCATTCAGAGACATTAAACAATAAAGCACCATCAGACCCCTTATCGTGGTAACCTGTCCTGAATTTGCCCACCCCCCCCACCACCACCACGGTTTGCATGATAAATATTCATCAAAAGGCCAGCAGGAAATTGAACAAAACTTACAGCACAATAGCGTTGGCTACAGTTCAGACCTGTAGGAGTAAAAGCAAAGCGAGCAAGAAAAAAGAAATCAGCAACAAATGTCTCGACGTGGGTTTGGGAGGCCATCTGCACTTATAGTACCGCACCTATATAAAAAAATCAGTCACCTGGTCAAATTTCTCTTCTGCATTTGCTTTTTTGTTCCATTTAAATGTTGGTCAGGCCATCACTTGAATCCCACAATGTGACCAGGTGACTGTGAACTCATCCCAGCACCGAAGAAATGCTTAGAACAGGTCGATGTGTGGGTGTGCCAAAACGAAACTCGAGTTATAATTTCTGGAGTCGACGCACAGCTTCAATCATTACAGATGGAAGCTAGAAGTCAGGCCTGAAATCTGGAATCTAGAGACGGACTCAGATCTGAACCTTCAGAGCTACGTAAAGACAGCGACAAAGTCGGTCTTCTTCTGATTAAAGGAGCAATGTCCCAGCAACGCCGAGAGAAATTCAAACAGGATGCTTCCTCAAATCAGGACGACAGCGCACATCGCCCCAGTTCTAAAGTTGGCTCCCAGACTGAACTTTAAAATACTGTTCTTAGTTTTTTAAAAAATCACCTGATGTCTGATTTGAAATAGCATTTTTACATCAATTGCTGCTTGATTGTGCTATAAATTGACACTGTGGCTGGAAAATACACAACGCCATCCCCTTCAGACACCTCTTATTCAAGAACACTGGGGTATAGCGAACTAGTTCAGATTTACCTCTACTTAGTTTTTTTCTTGTGAAGAAAGTTAAATTGAGGCTGGAAGGTGAGTTGACTCATAAGTCCAAATTCTTTATTTATTTCACATTTAAACGATATGAAATAAGTATACAACACATCTTAAGGTTGTGTAGTATACTTCATGGAAGACGTAAACCCCCCCCCCCAAAAAAACACAGATTTAAAAGCCCCCCAAAATTGGGCTCTAACCCTACTACAGTCCGTAGGTAGAGTAAATACAAAGATAGCTTATAACAGCTGTCAGTATAACTGCAATGATGGGAAGAAACTGCTCCAAAATCACTGCAGTGGGCGAAACATTAGATTTTTTTCTCTGTGTGTCGGAGGCCGGAGAGGGTTGTTTCACAATGCAACCCCAACCCCTCTGGCCTGGTGCTCTCTCTCCCCCTCCCAAACAACCCTCTTCACCCCATCGGCACCAACAATACCCCCTCTCACCGCAGCGCCCCGCTCTCAACAGGCTTCTGCGCAATTTATTCAAATATTTTGACATTTCGCCTCCCCTCACTTCCCGAGCAGAAATGATTTGTGACAGCTGGAGATGGGCTCTGTCGGAGGAGCTTCCTCTAAAAAAACGCTCTGCCTTCTTTTACCACCCTCCCTCCTCCCCTCTTTGTAGAAGGGCACGTTTTTCTCTTTCTACTGCCATCTTTTTTTTTTTCATTTTCCTTTATTCACCGCCGCTCCACCTGTCAGCCGGTGCAGCCCATAAAGCAGCTCCCCTTCTATTTTTTTTTTTTTTTTTTTTGTAGTGTGTGATTTCTTAGCGTGACATATAAACTATTTGTTGACTTTTTTTTTTCCGCCTCATTTGGGCCTTTTGCTCACCCACTGTTTTGACTCCTAGCTTTGAGGTGATCTGTGCTTGGCAAAAAAAGAAGAAGAAGAAGAAGAAGAAGAAGAAGAAGAAGAAGAAGAAGAAGAAGAAGAAGATTTTACCAATACATTTATTAAACAAATATATATACACAATTCACAATGTTTCTCTTTACATCAATAAAATCATTATAATAGTATTTTTTTATAAATTAGTTCGTTTCTCTCTGAGATGATGCATAGTGCGTTATCGCATCCCCACAAATCCAAAAACTTTTCCAAATTCCCGGTGGCCCTGTGGAAAGCAAACTCCAATCTCAATCTCGCCTTTATGTTCACTTTCCACAGGGTCACAGCATCCAACTGAGGTCCATCCTGCATCCTATCTCTTCGAGTGATATAAATAGCTAGTTTAGCTTCAGCCAATAAATAGTTTAAAAGCCGAGATCTTAAACTAGTTGCTTTACTATGAGGTACACCGTTAATAAATACTGCATTGGTAAAAAGCATTTTAAAAAGACTAAAAACAGTCGATAGAAAACTAAAAAAACCAGTTAAACGTGTACAATCTATAAAAACATGAAAAACACTCTCTGATAAGGTGCAAAAAGGACACTCATTTACAATATTATGATTGATGACCGATAAAAAAGCATTTGTGGCAATGGCGCCGTGGAGCACCCTCCACTGGAGGTCACCAGTCCTTTTTTTAATTGGCAGTTTATATAGCGTCCTCCATTGTATCGGCTGTCCTTTTAGCTTATCAGCCCACACGCTGACAGCTCTCCCCTGGAGTGTTTTCCTGTTTAGGATTTTTACACAGTTTTTGTACAGTGTCTTTGGCATTACCTTGCACAGGTCCATTTCCGAGTCCGTGTTCTTTAAAAGGGGACCACTGTCCTCTTCAAAGCCCGGACTCAGGAGTACCTTTGGGAATGGATCCGTGTCTCTTGGTAGGCATTCCTTCTCTTTGTATGACTGCAGTAAATCCTTCTCCTCTGCAGCCAGTCTCTCCTTTACTTTCCCCAGGACACGTTCCATTGTTCTGGTGGACTTCATTTTGACTGCAGCGGCAACCCCCTGGGCGTTTCCAAAATCCGCTCCAGAAAATTGGATCAGCCGCTTTAAAGTCACCAGTCCAGCTCTGCTCAAAGTCTCTGATAGTCCTAGGAACGTGTCTTTTTCGACGTCTAATCTTGCTCCGCAGACCAATGGTTCTTCTAAAAGCCAATGCAGAGAGTCATTCGTTTCCGATCTACGCAATTTAAAAAGAGCACACGATTTAAAAACGCTCTGATAAAATTGCGGAATCTCCCTTAACTTTAAAAGACTAAAATTTGTTAAAAACAGAGCAGCATCCAACTCCAATAAATTCACACGTCTCAAAATGCAGCTGGCCACATCTCTCCATAGGAGATCCTGTCAAATATTTCTGTAAAAACTGCAATCTAAAAACAACCACTCTACTAGCCAGGTGGACAAGGCCTTGGCCCCCCTCCTCTCTAGGTAAAAACAACACTGATTGCGGTACCCAGTGATGGTTATTCCAAAAGAAATTCAC